AATAGGCGTTAATTGTCGCTTGGCTATGCACTAGAATATTTATGGACTCGCTGCTTAAAGCAGAATCCCACTTGACACCCTCTGCTTATCCAAATATTTTGGAATGAAATTAAACCAATTGCGGAGTGCAGGAGCACGCATTTATCACCGAGTGTGAAAACAACTTTTCCCGGTCATATAGCATTCGAAAATATCCCCGGTTGCTACGAGCAGCAAGACGTTGAGTGCCAAGTCTGCCAGATAACTTTATATAAAATATTTCAATCGACGCTCAGCCAAAGCCAGGGCTCGTGAGTAACAGCTACGTGCTAAAATTAGCAATATTTATTGATATAAGACTCAGGATCAGGACAACGCATCTCAACTGGCGCCTGGCATGACTGATTGCTGACTGGCACTTCGCAGTTACCACTAACCAGCTCACTGAGGCGTCAATAGGAATTCAACGCACTCACAAACACACACAAATGCTTAAAAGGAATAAAGGCAAGCAAACAAATGAAAAATGATTCAGCAGTTTTTGTTGTTAAAAAGTGTAAAAACTGCCAAACGAAGCTGCGGCAATAATGCTGTACACACACATACACAGGTGTGCAGGTGGCTGAGCAAAAGCGAAAACACTGGCAACGGGGGGAGGCAGGTAAACGATTTGGCAGGCGCTGTCATCTCTGACGTTGTTGCCACATAATGAAAAACGGAAACGGAAATTTTGTATTGTCTGCCTCCGCTGATGGCATGCCAAATCTAACTCATACACAAACACACAAATACACAAACATGAAGACATACACACTTGATTTTTTGCCGAATCGCTTGTAAGTTTGCTTTTATTTCCTTTTTTGTTGTTTGTTTGCTCACCGCAACTGTTTACCCTTGTGGTTGTTGGTTTGTGTCGACACGTATATATAGTTTTGTGTATGTGTGACTTTGCCGATCTGCCAACATCTTTGCACATCCTCTACCGCTATTGCGGCGGCAATATTTTAACTGTCGATTCACTTATTTGCCTCGCATTTCCTTGCCAGCTTTGGTTTGGCTAGATTTGGCCGATATGCTGCCAACTGCTCATTAGACGCATTGTCACCTCTTATAGCATTCAGCGTATTTGTTGTTGTTATAACGTTTGCTGGTTTGTTTGGCATATCCGATAATGCGGTGGAAATGGTGCTGAGTGATTGTGATGTGTTTTATGTACTTTTCAGCATGCTTTCGACAGTTACGTTGCCTACTTTTAGGCATAGTGAATAATACAAATGGAATGTAGTAAATGTTTTCGCAGGCTGACAATGACGTAACTGATTTCTTAGCACTTCTAATGTGAGCGGCAAATTACTACAGCCCAATTGAGGTCATTTTGTTACATTTACAGTTACATATGCATATGTTATACTTCTTGCATATACTTTTAGGTGAATAATTTTTTTTTTTTTTGTGAAAAAAGCAGAAATTCATGGTTTTTCGTTTTCATAAACCACATTTTTCAACGCCAGTTCGGCATTTTAGAATTTGTTATGACAGCTACTTTTAGGCGCAAATTTTTCTTGAAAGTTCTGGAAACTTTATTATGTGCTTTTAGGTTAATTGCGTAATGCTTATGGTGAACTAGCTATTTTAAAATAGCTGCGATGTCCGAATACCATTTTTGCGTACATAACTTTAAATATATAATTTTCATATAATATTTCTGCAAATCAAAATTGGTATATATTACAATGTAAGCAAGCGTCATATGTGGGCTAAGAAAAGCGCTGAAACGACTTTATCCAAATTATCACGAGAAATGATAACGGCAAGCTCAGAATCTAGTATTATTTTAGTATACCTTTAGGCGCGTATACTGCGCAAATATTAGATTAATAAATCGATTTTTTCCAAAGAGTTTTTTATTAGTCTGTGCCACGAGGTGATTCTTTTAATCAGTATTGTTTGAAGATGGACATCAGACGAGAGAATATAAGTAATACTTGTATTTTATAGTTTTCCTTCGAAAAAGACTAGAACGCTAATTAAGTAGCTGCAACTGTGACTGTCAGTCTGACTGTAGCATGAGCAATTTGGGTTCGTCGATACCGTTCCTAGAATCTTGATGTCAGAGATGCACTACGCTTTGGAGGACGAAATATCGCTATTATGAAAAATGGAGATGGAATGAACCGACATGTTAACACTGTCTCGATTCTCCAGGAAGTAATTATGTGGCAAAAAGCCGTTTGGTATCGCTTAAATAAGTGTGGATATAAAAAGAAGCTCGTGGTATAGATGCCACACGAATTCTCTAGAAATTCTCATGGACGTATTATATATGTAGGTGAAGATATAAAAAGAAGATGGTTGAGTGGATGCTCGCGAAATCTTCATAAACTAATTATCTTCCTCGAATCACTACTGTGATGACGCAAAGTGAATGGCTTACTAGAACGTCAAGCAAATATGGTCATAGTAGAATATCGGCGGTACGGTACAAACTATGACTAAGCCAGGATTATCGGTCAGGAAGGTTTTGCCGTGTATTTTCTTGATTTAGGAAGAGAATCATATTCTATGCGCAGCTTTCATACCGATAAGCTCTTAATAGAGACCTGAGCTGTCAACGATTGCGTCTTTTGAAGCAAGCAATCCCCTTGAAGCGACCCGCTTTGGCCAATAATTTAGGAACTGTTTTCCTCTGGACAACGCCGGGCCATTTACATCGACAGTGATCCACCGAAGCTCTGTGAACTTGGTTCGGATACTCTTAAGCAAAGAAACCGATATCAAGAGTTTATAATCTTAAACATTTTATGGGCTGCTCTACGCCCAAGGTTTTCATACGGACCTGAACTGTCAGAAATTGCACCTTCTGAAGTAAGCTATCACCCGGAAGTAGTCAGCCTTGGCCAATAATGAAAGGCCATACACATCGATAGTCACTTAACAGAAGCTCTGGAAGCTTAGTTGGGAGGTTCTTATATATTTGCCTTGTAGAAATGCACTTCAACTCATCACCGGTAAAAATTCACTTGAAAAGGCTTGTTCAAGTCGACTGTCCCAGTTTTTTGTCAATAAGGGCAAGCGTTACTATGCGTTGTTCTCCCATCATCAGATACAAATTAACGGAACCGACCAGTATTTTTATCCCGTCAAGAACTGTTTTCAGCCGCTATAACAACAGTGTTTCTAAATTATGGCAAAGATTGTCCAGGACTGTCACATGCCCAGCCATGATATCGCTAAGAAACTTAACATTTTTCATCAAACAGGTTTGAACCGTTGAGAAAAGGCTGGCTATGAATGGAATGAATTGTTTGTGAAAAAACTAAAGGACCAAATTAACATCTGCGATTCTTTGCTGAGACGAAATGAAGTCGAAGCATTTCTGAAACGCATAGTAACTGGAGACGAAAAGTGGATCAAATACCACAAAAATGTGGGAAAAAGATCATGGTATAAGCTTGGTGAAGCCCAACAAATGGACGCAAAACCAGAATTGATAGCTCGAAAAGTTATGTTGAGTTTTTGGTTGGATTGGAAAGGAATCATTCACTCTGAGCTGCTCCAGCCTGATCGATTGATTCTACATTTTACTGACAACAACTGATTAGACTGAAGCAACCAATCGAAAACAACTGCCCGAACTGATCAACAGAAAGGACTTCTTTTTCCATTAGGATAATGCTAGCTAGACCATACATATCTTTGATGACTCGGCAAAAACTGAGAGAGCTTGGCTGGGAAGTTTTGATATTTGGTTCACTAAACTTCATTATAATTAAAAAATTTAAATTCATAAAAAAAAAAAAAATAGGTTGAAGTTTGACTAGTTTTTACTCTTCATAGCCAAAAATATGTTTTTAGATATTAAAGTTGTATTGATGGTTTGAGACATAGGAGTATTTGGAATGACTTTGTGCTTAATATAAAGATAAAAAGACAAAAAAACACAATTTTGGAAGAAAGCTATATTCAATAAACTTTAATACTAAACTTTCTATGGACTTCGTCTGCGAAGAGATGTGCTAAGTTTAAGCACTGCTAGAGTAAGAGACTCGAAGATCTGGCATTTTCTTAATCGCCAGTAAAACTTTGAGAAACTTAAGGTTTGTAGAAGATGCCTTTATTTCAGAAGGGTTAAAGTTCTATGACCAACTTTTTCATAAAATTATTTTTGAAAAAAGAATGCTAGAAATATAGAAAGAATAATAGAAATTTCTTTAAACTACAATTACATACTAGCTTAATGTTCCTATTTGAACAAAACAGCAAGAGCTTGCATTCAAATTTTCAGACTTAAGATCAGTCACGCCAACATGTAGGCAACAATTTCCGTTAAAGACACAGCTGACAGTCAATGCGGCTTAAAAGTGAAGGAAATATGTGTGCAAAATCGCCGCTGTTGACAAAGACCCATGACCAAACGAGATCAAACCAACAGCGGCTAGAAACTAGGCCAGCAAGAAGCGACATATGTCAGCAGTTGAAGACAAAGAAAAAGCTGCGAAGTGACTAAACAGAAGTCAGCAAAGAGTAGAAACACAAATCAGGCGATTTAATGGCGGTGATTGACATGCCAGGGTTGCCAAAGAAAAATGCTGCAATGCAGTTTTAGGAGCGCGACGTCTATAACTCTACCTTTAGGCGCACACAAGCAATACATTATTTCACTAATGGCAACAAGAAGAATGGTCACTACGTCTCGCCAATTGAATTGTTATTAGACTTATCCTCGGCATAATTAAGTGCTTGCGTAAATGTACAATTAATTTCCGGCTACACTTAACACTTAATACACGATGCTTAACTACTTAACATACAATTAAATAATTGATGACCAATGCCGCCACAACAATATAAACACAATAACAATAACAAACATAACAATAATAGCCCCCATAACAACAATAGCCACCATAACAACAACACCAACCACTCAAGTACACATAATCATATTAGTTAGTTGTGCGCGCTTATTAATTTATTCATGTTGTTGTTGCTGTAGTGCATGAGTAGCATTGGGTACTTACATCAAATTAACCAAAATCGCTAAACCAGACGTAATCAGCATAATCTTGGCATTCACTTCAAAATCGCGATTAATCAAACGCTGCACGGCCAACCAAACGAGTATGGCGGTAATGACCCAAATCATCACGACCGAGGCCATGGCGCCGATAACCTCGGCGCGATACCAGCCGAAGGACATGCTATAAGAGAGAGAGAAAGAAACAAGAAATGTTAAGTGGAAATAAATATGAAAAGGTAAGTGAAACGTGTTGCAGATGAATAAATGTGAAAAAGTATATTAGCAGAGGAAATTAGATTCGTAAAGGTAATGGCGCTGTGGTTAACACACATCCAGATCGTAGCGCCTAATGGCATATAAGATATTTTGAGAAAAATATTCAAGGGATTCTTTCGATAATGCGGTCATTAAATCGGACGATTGCAACGAAATTGCGTTACGTAACGAAATTCCTCTCAAATTTTGGGTCAAAAAACGGAAGTTCGAAGGGAGTTAGACATTTTTGTATTATATTGAGTAATATTTGAATGCTTCAAAGCAGAAAAATATAGGGTTGCAACCTGTTTGAAAGCTTTCAGTTAAAAAAAATTTTGTGTGAAAAAATTTAAGTTCGAAGGGAGTTATATATTTATGGTATTTTACGAAATAATATGTGAATTCTACCAAACAGAAAAATTAGAGGGTTGCCACCTGTTATAAAACTTTCCGTTAAAAAAAATATAGTGTGAAAATTGAAGTTTGAAGAGAGCTACATACATATTTTAGTATTATTATATTTTGTAATATTTGATTTCCAGTGTTGCCACCTATTTGAAATCTTTCAGTTAACAAAAAATGTATTGTCAAATAACTGCAGTTCGAAAATAGCTAAATTTGTTTTGCGGATTAATATGTAAGAGCTCCAAATTGACAACTGAGAAAGTTGCCACCTGTTTGAAATTTTTCAGATACAAAATTCTACATTAAAGAAACCTGCAAACCAAATAGGTCTAGTAAAGCTTGGATTTGGGACTAAAAGTTTAATGAGTGTTGCCACCTGTTAAATTTTTTTAATATAAATAAATTATAGACTAAAATTAGTATTATTACATATATTTTGTAATATTTGATTACCAGTGTTGCCACCTGTTTGAAACCTTTCAGTTAACAAAACATTTATTGTCAAATAACTGCAGTTCGAAAATAGCTAATTTTTTTTTTTTTTTTTTTTTTTTTTTTTTTTTTTTTGTATTTCGCGGATTAATAAGTAAGAGCACCAAATTGAAAACAGAGAAAGGTGCCACCTGTTTGAAAATTTTCAGATAAAAATTTCTACATTAAAGAAACCTGCAAACCAAATAGGTCTAGTAAAGCTTGGATTTGGGACTAAAAGTTTAATGAGTGTTGCCACCTGTTAAATTTTTTTAATATAAATAAATTATAGACTAAAAAACATCTGATATAAAGGGATAAAGTTTTCAGTTAAAAGAAACTGGCTGAGTAGTGTTGCCACCTGACTAAAACTTTATATCATAAATTATACCAGACTGAAGAGATTTTATAAAACTTCGAGTTAACGTTTTAAAAGTCGACATAACTTATTAGAGTAACTAAAATTTGAGTTTAAAATTTTTATATTAATTTAATTTAATTGAACTTTATTTAATTTAATTTATTTTAGTTTATATTAAATTTAAGAAATGTTCAACGCGAAATATTTTTTAAGAACCCAGAGTTGCATATAAATTCATAGATAAAGTGTATTAAATTTTTTCATCATCATTCATCTATCGATCACCGAAAGGTGTTTAGGCCAACGAGTTGCTCCGCTATTTTACTGAGATGCTGATTGACTAGCAAATAAGGGGTCACATACTGAGGGTTGTTTCCTCAGGATTACAGCACACTTATCGTAAGAGTATATCGAGGGAGCGTGAAAGTTCTATAATAATTTCACAAAAGGGGCCATAATAGTTCGAGATAGATTTAGCCTTGAATCAAACTTCAAGCCTATCATTTTCAGTCTTATCTGTGACATAATGATCGCTGCACAGTTAAGTGTAGCTCAGGCTCGTAGTGGATTGGTCACGTCTTGGGAGGAAGGTATCAATTGACGTGATTCGATGATTGATAATTAACACTCTTTTTCAGTCTTCCTGACTATTGTATGTTTTTCAAGCCAAGGCTGCTGTCATAAAAGGATCTATCGCTTTAAAGTGCAGTCTTCTTTAACAAAGTGACTCCACGCAACAGTAGTAGAGCGACAATACCAACTTTGAACTCAATAGACGTGCGTTTGTGGATGGTTTAGGAATGCATACTTCACTATAAATAGCCTCGGGTTATTTCTGGACAAGACTAGATCAGCCACAGCGGTATCGTAAGTAAATACAAAGCTGATGAGTTAGCAAGCAAGATAGAATTCGTACTGGACTGCTGGCTATGGCAGTAGCTTGGAAAGGAAGTTATCGGTTTCTGTGCGGTTAACTTCCTGGATCAAAGTCAATCGCAAGAGAATCAGTGAGGTCTTCATCCTGAGCAAGGTTAATATTTTCCCAATTGTATTGATTATAATAGAAATAATTCTATTGGCGACATTTAGCTTAGCTGAGAGGGATAGAAATTAAACGCCTAAGCAGATTTATTTTAGACTAATAAAAAACGTTTTACTGACACTTAAAATCCAATGACTGTAGTATATTTCTCTGTTCTCAAAGACTTATAAGAATCAGTCCAAGTGTTGAATAATAAATATTCAATAATGCAGTAAATTTTATAAAACACCTAATCATCAAACTAAAAAATTTGGGAAGGTTAAAAGTTAAAAATGCCTTTCTATGGGTTGCCTTATATTGATAAATGTTGTCAACGCATAATAAATAAATAATATTATCAAACCAAAACAACCCTCAAAATGCCTATGTACTATTGCCTTAATATTGCATATAAGATTTTATCGTGCATAGTGTGTGAAAGACTGATATAAGCCTTGAAATCCAACGCAAAATAACTTTTGCCAAAAGTAAAGTCCTCTTCTCACGAACAAAGACCAAACTCTACAAGTCCCTCATTATACCCGTCTTGCTATATTATACCGAAGTTTGAAAAATTATGTCATCTGATGAGTCGGCTTTAGGAGTGTTCAAGAGATATGTTTTGCGGAAGATTCATGACACTTTGCAACGGCGAGTACCGCAGTCGATGGAATGATGAGCTGTACGAGATATACGGCGACATTGACAAAGTTCAACGAATCAAGAGACATCTGCTGCGTTGGATAGATCATGTGGTCAGGATGGAAGAGAACAATTCCGCTTGAAAAGTATTTAGTACCCGCTGATGGGAACAAAGGAACAGCACACTTCACGCTTTTATAATTCTGTTTGGTAAATATTTTTCATTGCAATCTAAAGCCTTTCATTGCTTGATTTTAGAGTAAATTTGGATAAAGATTGGATAAAACAAAACAGAAGAAAAGAAATATATATAGAAATATTATGGGTGCATAAAACCATAAAACCGATTTCATCGTAGATTAGGGAGCTTTCATTACCAAGAAAAAGTGAACGTAGGAAATCTTCTGCACATAAAAATAATTTTTTACTTGAAAAACGAAAATCTTAAGGCATCCGCGCTTTAAGCGATTAATTACAGCCAAGCACGAAAATATATATATATATATATATATGTATGTATTTATGTGGCAAAAGTATACTGCAAGTGAAACAGTAACAACAAAAACTCCGCACAAACAAACTATTAAAGAAAACATAATATTAGCTTAATTTCTTTTTTGGCTTATTCTCTTTAACTTACACACAGCGCAGCTACTCAAGTTGATTTTTCTTCTTTTTTTGTTTTTTTTTTTTTTGGTTTGGGTTTGGGTTGGTCCAGTGGTTGGAGAGTGAGAGGGAAAGTCTGTAGCCGGGCTGAAATTCAGCGCAAAGTGCCTTTGAATATTTTATGAAAATGAGATTGGTTTTTAGGCTACAGCCGGCATTGCAGGCGCACAACAACAACAGTAACAACAAGAACCAATACGACTCACACACGCGCACACATATATATCGAGAAATTAATGTTGTAGCAATGCTGATTTTGCAGCTTACACTGTTTTGCACTTTGTTGTTGTATTGTGTATGTTTGTTGTTACATTTTTTTGTTGCTTTTCTGTGGTTTTCCAGCCGCCGAGTAGTTCGAGCAGCAGACGGTCTGCAGTTGAGTTGAGTAATTTTGGTCGCGCTTTGTTTTATTGCACGCTTTCACTGTGTCTGCCAGTCAGGGCCCAGACCAACATACGCCACTTTTCCCCTGTCCGCTTCACACTCTTAACGCGCTCTCTCTCTCCACAACGAACAGCCGAATCGTCATAAAACGCTTGTACATTTCGTAACTGTAATTTCTCTGGTGATTTCACGCAATCAAATAAACAAATACACAGTAAACAGAGAGAAACCGAATAATGAAGTGGTGCTGTGTTGTTTCAGGTAAGGAGCGTCGTTTGGTGGTGGGTGGGGGGACGATAATGCCGCTGAGGTGCTCGGACGCTTGAAATATTGGCTTTGTTGAGCATATTTTATTTAAATTGCTACCATTTTATATTTGAGTTTCGGCTGGCTATGCTGTAAAGTAGTTTTTTACGTAAACGCCTAAAAGTATGCAGTTAAAAATTGTATTTGCATAAAGCAAGCGAAAAAATTGGTGAAAAACGCTTGACGCCCACAGTCATGCAGTTGGTTACCAGTCAATCAAATAATTCATTGCCAAAGCGCCTAAAAGTAGGCGATACTAATTTTTTGAGTTGCAAAGTAATACAAGAATATAGATAAACCGTTACTTCGACTGCGCAGAAGCTAAAGTAAGTTCAAAGGTGCACTTTCTTGTCTTAAAATGGTATGAAAAGATCCTTACCTTGATTTTTATACTCTCGCAACAAAGTTGCTAAGGAGAGTATTATAGTTTTGTTCACATAACGGTTGTTTGTAAGTCCTAAAACTAAAAGAGTCAGATATAGGGTTATATATACCAAAGTGATCAGGGCGACGAGTAGAGTTGAAATCCGGATGTCTGCCTGTCCGTCCGTCCGTGCAAGCTGTAACTTGAGTAAAAATTGAGATATCATGATGAAACTTGGTACACGTATTTCTTGGCTCCATAAGAAGGTTAAGTTCGAAGATGGGCAAAATCGGCCCACTGCCACGC